TGAGCTGGGCAAATTTATATTCTGAATCAAGTAATTGGGAAAATAGTAATTAGGAACAATGCACAGAGCAGGAGAATTGTGCATAAAATGTGCAACCTTTTGAAAAAGTACTGACACAAACCTGCATTACAATAGTGTGAAGTAACTAGGGAACATATAGATGTGTTTTAAAAAAATCCACACAAAAAGCATATAGTATAGAAAGTGTCATAAGGAACTGTGAATTTCTGTGAAGTTTTGGCTCTTATTTTTTAATTATAAGCGGATGTGGAAATCGGACAGAACAAGCATGACCTTTAAAAAGCATTATCAGTATGATAGAGGCTGAAAAAGCCCCCTAGCCTTGGGGTGAGCAACTGCAAAAGTTGGGGCCTCAGTGGAAGACTACACCCTACTGTACCATCTGCCATTAGGATTGCCAGATTTCAGGGTGTAGCCTCTTTTCTCTAGTTCACAAGCAAAGCGAACCCATCTCAGGTTAAAAAACTGTTAAACAGTTAAACACAGTATTATTTAATTGAATGGTGAACTCTGCGCAACTGTGGTTGATGCTTAATGTAACCATATAACATAACCTTGTAACATCACTAGATCCCACATCCTATTATACCAACAGCCCTTTATTCTCAGGTTTTGGTTCTGAAATCTCAAAGTCTGAGATAGTCTTGATCTTGTTGTCCTACCCACTACTGATTTTTTTTTTAATTTGGGGGTGAGGGCTTTGGGGAAAGACTAAAAACAGTATTCCATGATCCCTAGGGTGTGCTTTGCTGGGAAATGCCAGCTGTCCTTGGAGCTTTAAAAATGGTTATGAGGCCTACACTTTCTCCATTTCTGATCTAGCCCTCCTAATTCTGCAGGTGTCCAGCACATGGCTGGAACTAAGAAAAGAAAGGGCAGTGATGGATTTAAATTACCAAAAGCACACATGCGCACGGGACTGCTGAGCTGTAATTTGGCACTGGTGATATAATCTAAACAAAAATGATTGCTGTTCTTTGTAACTCTGATTATAACACTTGTGTGTTAAACTGGAGTAATGTCTTCTAGAAACTAGCTCTGAGGAACTGGCTATTAAGAAGATGGTGTTCTACTGAAAAACTAAATAAAAGTATTATTTAGCCATGAATTTCTAGTTTCCACATTCTCCAAACATATGTTACACAATGCAATTTATGAAGATCCCCATTTTGGTTTCTTTTCCTTTTCCTTTCCATGTTCCCTTTCCCCTTCCCTTTTCTTTTCCTTTCTTTCTTTTGGCATGCAGCAGCAATCCTGAGTAAACTGAATCTCAGACTAGGTTATATTCATGACATATCTGTTCCACTCATCACTCCCACCCCCCAAAATAAGGGATTTTTAGCGCTTTGTTCAGTCCACATAAAGGGCATGCTTTCTATCCCTCAAAAAGGATATCCTTTACAGTAAGGGACACCTGGTAACTCTAGCAGACACTGTAGTCTAAAAAACGATTAATGTATTTTTATTCAGAGTATAACATTTTGTGTTAACATTTGAGTAATGTCTCCTGGAAGTAAGGTCTGAGCACAGCTTGTCATCACCACTAGAGGGCGGCAGTAGTATTTAGATGGTAATGATTACTGCCTCTCCAATACCATGAAAAAATCAAAGGGGATAGGGCACTTTTGATTGCAATCACTATAGTTTCTCTGGAGGAAAATAACATCTTTGTATTTACCCATGCACACTTAACTGATACAGTAAAAACAAATTGTACAGATAGATCAACAAACAGAAAGCAAGAGGACTTGTATATGCGTCGTCAGACAACTCGGATGAGGTTATCTAAATACGCTGCGTACAACACTTATCATCATTGTGAACAGTGTCATCAGTATATGGGCTTTAACCCCAGGTACCAGGTAAGACTTATATGGCCTTAAAAAAACAAATCCAGCACCACCCAAAAGTTCAAATACAGCAGTAATCACAAAGCACAGAGAATATGCATGTTTTGTGTGGAAAGAGTTGAACAGAGCCATGCACACGGAGATATAAGCAGAGCAGTCTGGGGCGAATATGTTTATTTAGGTTGTAATCCTACTCAACTGGATTTCTTTCTTCTGAGTAGGCATGTATAAGTTTGCAGTGTGACTAATGATGAAAAGTCTTTCTATTAGGGTTGACACACCAAAAACAAGACAGTTTCTGTACCTTTAATGTTGCTTACCACACAACCAAGTAACAAGCAACACCAATCATTAAAGGTACCATTAAAGGTACAAGAGCCCTTTAAAGTTTTCACTCCAGCAACCCTCATTTCTGTCCTGCTGTTTGATTGGTATTGCTTGGAATTCTCTTTCCAGAAGCATTCATTGAATATTTTGAATCATTAGAATGAATGGATTTTATGTAATATTTCCTATGGTGGATTCGTGGTGTCTGTGTCTGTGTGTTTTAAATTATTCTGCTTTTCCCAAAGGAGTTTGGGTCAAACAACATAGGTGGTCCTCCCCACCCCATCCCATTTTATTCTCACAGTGGCCTAGTAATTATATCTAAGATACGCTGGACTCAGAGAGCCAGCGTGGCATAGTGGTTTAAGTGTTGGACTATGACTCAGGAGACTAGACTTCAATTTCCAGCTTGGCCATGGAAACACACTGGGTGACCTTGGGCAAGTCACACACTCTCAGCCTCAAGTAAAGGCAATGGCAAACCTCCTCTGAACAAATCTTGCCAAGAAAACCCCATGAAAGGTTCATCTTAGGGTCGCCATAAGTCGGAAATGACTTGAAGGCACATACAAGACTCTGAACTCAGCAGTGTAGTGAATACAAGGCTTTCAGGGTTGAAGCCCCAAGACTTTTTGATTAGCAGGGACTATCGCATCATCTGCCATCATCAACTCCAACTGTTCCCTGTGAGTTTAGCTGGATTCCATAACAGTAGCTGGGGGGAAAAATGGATATTCTCAGCAACAGTTTATTGTTGTGTACTATCTCTTTTGTAATCCAAAATATTTGGGGGTGGCTTGGTCTTCAGTGATCAGTTTGAAAAAGAACTGATCCCAGTGGAAGGGAAGCTAATTTCTAGTAGTCTTCTCCACTGGGATCACATATTATATCATTCAACCTAGCCACTTATGTTTTTGGGCTCTCCTTTGTGGTTGTCCTAGAGACTGTCATGATGAGGGCCTGCATTTTAAAATTTATCATTGTGTCACTGTCTGGACTTGATGGTCACATGGTATGTTAATGGATAGGAGGACTCTTTAGAAGGCATTGTGTATCACTTTCTAAATATGGTAAGCCAGTTCAGCTGCACTCGGGATGCCCTCCTGCTCATTCTGCTAAGGGAGTCCCTGGAGTCCTGCCCCCAAAGTCCTGCCCTAATGGTATAGCTGCAGCAGTACTTTATAGGATGTTAGGCTTTATAGGAAGCCATCTCTGGCCATCCCAGTTTCATCCAGTGAGATTCATGGTTCTGCGTGGATATTAGATCAGGTTACTCCAGTGCTAGTTCAGTGCTCAGAGCCTTACACCTGAGCTTGGAAAAGGTTTTTTTTTTTTTTTTTTGGTGGTGGGGGGACTTTAGCTTCCAAAATCCCTCAGCTATGCTATGTTGAGTGGCAAATTCCTGGAGTTGTAGGCCAAAAAGGTAACCTTGATTTTTTTTTTAAAAAAATATTCAAAACAATCAAAATACAATAGGTCTATCCATTCAGATTTTGTATTAGCAACTTGACTGCATCTTAAAGTGCTTAACAAGAGTCTTGGATAAGATGTTAAAATGGTAACCTTTCCAAGTTCCTGTACTTTCCTACACCACACTGGCTATGAAAACACTAGCTGAAGTCCAGATAGTAACTCTGGAGCTGGACCATATGCTATGTTCAATGTATAGTTAAAATCAGACCTAATGTAGCATTTAGATTCTGTAGAGCAGTGGCAGCATCAGGGGAAATGTATAATAACCATGATAATATCTGACTATATCCTTGCTGAGCCTCTGTTTTACATACATCAACACAAATAGCCTCTAATTTCTAAATAAATGTTTCCCTCTGTGCCCATTAAGGCTTGTTTCAAGCTGAAGCCTAATATCTGTATTGATGAATACATTTTGTTTATGGCCTATGGTCTTTTCTTTCTCCACTGCTTTAATAGCTATTAGGCATGCATCAGTATCACAGCTGGTAAAAGAAAGCCAGATTGTATATGAGCTGTCTCTAACATTAGGCACAGTGAGGTGGCTGTCAAAGCTTGAGTTTTTGGAGCACAGAATTATTTGTGCTATTCTACCATCCCTGGGCTCCCTACTTTTCTGCAGTCAGGAGCAATGGGAGTATAGTGTCCCACTGCCAGTGCTGAAGTAAGATTTGTTCAATAGTCCAGTCAGCTGAATGTACTTTTTTAGGGGCAGGGTATCATCTTGTTCTTTGTGTCAGACAGCAAAATATATTGAACTGGCCCTGGTTTCACTATTATCATTCTTCTTCCTCAGCTCTGTGAATCCACCTTGCATGCTTTCGCCTTTTCCTATTCGATGCTTGGAGAGGAGATTCAGCTTCATTTTATCATCCCCAAGTCGAAGGAACACCATTTTGTCTTTAGCCATCCAGGAAGACAGCTGGAGAGTATGAGATTGCCTCTTGTTACAGATAAGGTAGATAATGAAGAATATGAGACATGTATAGATTTTGTTTGCCATTTTACAAAATATGAATAGCCTTCCCTGTTTTGATTCTGATTCTTAATTATGGTAGATGTGGATTGTTTACTTCCATATAGTGTCTTTGATGCAAAGAGAGATAGTCTGTGGATCACCCAGGCAATCTGTTTATCCCTTTGGGCCACTTCTTAGATCACTGTTGGGACAGAGGTGTTGTTGCTGTGTGCCTTCAAGTTATTTCTAACTTATGACAACCCTAAGTTGACTGTGTTTTCTTGGCAAGATTTGTTTAGAAAGGGTTTGTCCTTGCCTGCCGCTGAGGCTGAAAGTGTGTGACTTGTCCAAGATCACCCAGTGGACTTCCATGGCTGAGTGGGGATTTGAACCCAGGTCTCCAGAGTCCTAGTCCAGCATTCAGACCACTATACCACAGTGGCTCTAAAGCAGGGGTAGGCAACCTTTCCCCTTTAAGGGCCGATGGACTTCAGCTCCCAGAAGCGTCAGCCATGTTGGCCAATAGTCCCATGTTGGCCAATAGCTCCTGGGATTCTTAATCCCCTTAAAGTCACTGTTAACTATGGGGGGATGCAGACCAGGGCGTCGGGGACGCCCTGGTCCGGA